TACATACATGAAAAAATCGCATCAGAACTTTCTACCATCGTAAATGGTTATCTTAATTGCCCCGAAGATACACTCTCAGAGAGAGATTCCTCGCGCCGACGGAATTCCACGCTTAATTATATTAATAATAATAAGTCGAATATTCATGGACTTTTAATCTCTACGAATTGAATTCCTTTTGCATTCGAGAGGCTCCAAAAAAAATGTATCCAATTATAACATGATTTCCTCTTTGCTTGTTTTTTATTACGATATCATTAACGTTATCCGAGCTTTTAAAATATTATTGCCCGTCTCGAATCGGCCTCGTCCATCTACGATTATTGAATGTTATCTATTGTTCCAATGGAAAACAATAAACGTAAATGTTTATGTCGGGAATCTTCAACGAGAATTAATAACAGTTTTGTTTTATAGCGTTCGGCACGAAATCGATGAAACCTACGATATGGATTTTTAACGCCCACAATAAAAAAATATATGTAGACACACTTTAATTAAATTAATAATTCTTTTACCTTAAAACTTACTTTTAAATCAATAAATAAATTGTAGTTCTAAATAGTAACCAAATTGTTCAATATAATTACACCAATCTGTATTAAAATATGGTAGAAGCTAATTCGATGCTAATGCTATAATTAATAATCTACTTTTATTCTCTCTTTTACAGCTTTTACTTCAGTAAATAAATTATGATTTTAAATGGTAATCAAATATTAGACTATAAATAATAGTGTACATGTGTATTTAAAACGAATGTAATAATAGGTTTATTTTATTGATTTCCATTGCTTGGCATTTATTTCTGAACACGTAAAATGTAACCTACTTCTTCCAAAGCTTCGTAAAATGGAAGTCGCATCTTCCAACATGTATTAGAATTATTGAATTATTTTGTCTATATAAAGAAAATAAAAGATTTTAAATAAAATCAAGAAATTAAAAATAATTCTTTAAAAGTATTAATCAATTTCAATATCAATTAGAAAATCGTACTTTCTATTTTAATTTATTCATTTTGAAGATTCATTTCTAAGATGCGTGTAAACAAAGAAAAAAGTAGAGAAAAAAAATGTTATATAATTATTAAATGTGTTTTTCGTTCGAAGAATATAAGATGCGTGTCAATAAAAGAAAGAAATTCAAGTTAACGTGAAAGTGGAAAAAGTTATACAAAAGAAAATCTTCTCAAATCATTTTCTTTTATGAAGAAACGCGATTTTCTCTTTATGCCACGAATCGTATCATTTATTTAAGTAATCAATACAATAAATTCTTTCGCTTCGGAAGAAACAAAAAGAAAATAGATAATTCAAAGAGGCCAAATGTGTGTTTTTTGATACAATAAAAAACGTGTCAAAACACATTATTTTGTAATAGTTTATATATTTAAATACAAATATGAGAATAAAAGTAATTCAATAAAATCAATAGTTCTTCTGAAAAAACATTGACTAGTGGGAATATTTAATAAATCAATTTGAAGAAAATTATGTTTTTTTTACTATCGATAAGCGTTTTAAAACATATAACTGATTACGTAATAAATATTGTTATTTTAATCAATATTTCATTTTTAGATTTAAAATTTTGATTTTGACGTATTCTCTAATAGAAACAAGAGAATACTTTAATATTTTGTTACTCATTTAGTCTGTATCGTCTATATAAAGATTTTGAAATAAATTCTGTTAAAAGCAAATAACTACGTCAAATTAAAAAAAAATCTATATTCTTTATGAAATCACCGTTAAAATAGCTCGAGCTATCGAATTTGGCTAGGTAAATCCAATTTGGACTTCACGAGTCATTAGCGAGGAGCGCGAAAAAAAAATATAACACGGTTATAATGATTTTATTAAATGCCAAGTCCAATTTGCGGCGTACAGAAAACCAAAAAAAAAACTAATGGCACGATATATTGAAACGCCAGATTTGGTTTCAATGCTATTTTTGGACTCCGACAATAACAACAACAGATAGAAGAATCAACGTATTTACGCAATTCCAATATACAAATTAGGAAGTTTTATTTTTAAGTTTATATTAATTATAGTATTATTACTTAATACTATAACTGAGTAAACTGAGATCAACTTTTTTCGTAAATTGCAAAACAAATAAATTAAGTACATTTAGAAATTATATATAATAGAGTTTCTGAATAAAATGATATAGAATTCATTATTTATTACAATTTATGTAATTTATAAAATAATTATAATATTCATGTGTTGGAGAATGAAAAGTTACATAAATTTTATTCAGCTAGAAATGTTTCAAAAAAAAAATCTACATTTCAGCAAACAATTGTAATCCCAATAATAGAACTATGTACAAACAATCATTATTTTTAAGCTGGGGTGAACAGAAACAAGGTGTAGCCATTAAATGTTTGCACTGAACGAAACAAAACAAACCAAACAAAAAAAAATATGACACTGTACCATTTCGAACAGTTTTCGTGTGTGTGTGTATTTGCAAAGGGCATTTTTATGTTGCGAGGATTTGCATTTAAATTATTTCACATCTCGACTGTTTGCGTTCGAGTCCCATAACGATATTCAAACATGGAAATGTTATTGGGTCAAGCGAAATCCGTGTAAAAACAAATGATAGGAACAATGCAGTACACAGCAATTCGCTGGGGGGTATAAAGAGGGATAGAGAGGATCAGCAAATGGAAAAGTTATGAGAGCGAATGAGATGAAAATGATTTGTATATATATATATAACTGTGTATGTGGGAAAGGGATGGTTTTACCCTGTACGAAATACGGGGAATCCATCATAGGGGAGAGGATTGATTTGTTTTAAAACTGTGAAATTTATTAATTCAATTAGCGCTGCGGAGCTCTCTCGTTTGTTTTCCGCCGATCGACACAAATCGCGAATTATTCGCATTAAAAATAATTTATGCTCGTTTACGTGCCAGAAATTGCTTTCCGGGGAAAATTGGCAAATGGAATATATGGAATATATCCATGGTTTTACTGCCGCAACCCTTATCTTATCGTCCGCATACGGGCGTTTATTTCATTAAATGTTTATTCGCTTACGCTTCATCGGGATTCTGGAAATAATTCATTTCCGGTTTAATATTTTCAGTAAATTAGACAAATTACACCTAAATTGTAATATATTGCAGCAATTTCAGTATTCTATAATTACATTGCAATTTTCATAAATGAGCTCAAGATATTAACTAATTTATCTTGCTAATCATAAGTCATATTTTTTACGTTAAAAAGAACGTTATTATTTGAAATAATTCTTAAAAACCCGTACTATTGGAGGTATTACGGTATTAAGTCTGATTCAATTTGCAATCTGTTCTTATAATAATCTGTATTGCATTTGTATGTAACACAAGAAGTTAAAAAAATATACGAATTAGGTTTTTTTTTGTCCGTTTACAAAATTTATTTGTAGATTTTATTATTAATATAATAATTAGTGAATTATTAGTAATTACATAGCAATTTTCAAAATTAAGTGTGATTCAATTTGCAATCCGTTCTTATAATAATTTGTTTTGTATTATAATCAATATAAGTTTTTAAAAAATAGTATTTACAAATTAGGATATTTTTTTATTTGTAGATTTTATTATGAATATAATACTGAGTAAATTTATTCTTGCATATTTGAAATTATAATTTTGATAAAATAAAGCAATAAATAATATCAAATTTGCATTTACAAAATGCAGATAAATATAATAAATTTTACATAAAAATATTTAATTCATCAATATAAAAAAAAATCCTCTTAATTAATAAACAATAATACTTCAATTGCTTCAATATAAATATTTTCAATACTGCGACCGTATCGTTTTTTATTAAAACAAATATTTATATTTTTTAAATACAGTAGTGTTTGCTTTGTTGGTTCATATGTTTCATTTAATTGGAATTTATATTAATATTGCCGCTGGTTATGATATCTATTTTAGTTTATTTCCGGATATTTTTTTTTCTATTCGTGTTTCAAAAGCAGAAGAATGAAGATTATGAATATTGTCATTAGTTTAACGTTAATTTTATAAAAATAAATGTTATGAATTTTGTAATTAATTTAATTACACATAATATTTTTAAATAAAAGTAGAATAAATATACTAAAGTAGGATGAAATTATTCGTTTATGGAAATTATCATTAAATTACAAAAATAAATTAATAAAACAGTACAATTTGTATTTGAAAGTATCAATGAATGAAGGAATTAAAGGAAACACGGGTGTTATATTTACAGAAGTTGCGAGGAACTAAATAAATTCCGTGCGACTTATCGGGAAATTGTTTTCCGTGTTGGGTATACGGAATTACTAGGAAACAATTGCCTACTCGTTGTGCTATTTATAGTGTATTTTATTAAGTATTTATAAATAGTTAACAAAGAGAAATAAATAAAACAAGGCAAAATAATGTACTTATTTTTCAATGATTTTGATCCAATTAGTCGTATCAGTATTATATAAGAGAATGCTTAATTAATAGCCTAATAAGTCTCATAAATTTAATTAAGAGAATATATATTTTTTCTCTCTCTTCTATATAAAGTATTAATTTCCCAATTGAATCGTTAAAACACAGTTGCGCAATGAAAATAAGAACATATATGTAGACATGAGGCCATTCGTTGCCAATTAAAAATTTAAATGCCTCGATGATATTTAGATGACGAACATGATATTCCTACAATAAACTCGAAGTTATTTCAATTTTATAAGACTTTGTAATAATTTTGTTTTTTTTTGGTAGTTCAAAATATTTAATTTTGCTTATCTAGGAATAGTTAACATATAGTTAAAACTTTTATAAGTTTTAAATTTTGAATTGGAAATGTATGTATTTAGGTTTATTACTTTTAGTAAGTTATAAAATTGAGCAATTAGTAAAATGTATGTATGTTATAGTGTTTGTTGGGTTGTTGAATTGGATTCTAATTGTAAAAGCGCGACTTTTGGGTAAAGTATTACAAACTGTCTACCTTTTGCTATTTCTGGTCCAAAAGCTGCTGCAACTACGAGGACGAAGTAAATAAAATCCATGTTGCGTTTTGCGGTTGTCGATAAAAGAATTCGATGTTGATGGAAATGAAGAAACGAAGAACTAAACCAAAAATAATGGGTACTTTATTTCTGATCGGACGATTTTACGCACTGCTCATTATTTCACTTGTCGCACCATACCAGAAGAAGCACACATTGTTTTGCGTTAATGTAACTGCAATCACCAAAGGTAAATTAGCATTGTTGTATCATCATAATGTTAGGTCATTTGTGATGCACTCATCGTTCACAACACGATATCCGCACGAGGGTAGTCCTAGAGTTACGTATCTCTGTGTGTACGCAAGTATATATACATATACAGAGTGTTTGTACAATGTACGATGTTCACACGACGAAAGTCTGCGCACGACTGGGCGCTTCGCTTCTCTTCGGCGATGGTTTGAGTGCGCCGGGCCCTCAAACCATCTGTTGTTCCTTCCTTCGGGTTGACACGAGGGCAGTTCAACTTTCGCGATGGACACTATAGTCCTCTCTCAACAGCAGCATCCAATATCCAGAATTTCAACTTCTGCTAAAGATTGAAGCTCACTTTCGGTCCATTCTGAGATAGCATCAGGAGGACCCATCGACGCAAATTGGACAGTCTTCGATCGACTTACCATTTGCATCATATCGTCTGGAATGGTGCATGATTTAAATGCAAATTGTCCATATTTGTTTTTCTTGTTCTTTCTGTTGCTGTTCGTAGAGGAGTGCATCAGGAAACCGTGGATTACTTTTCTTCGGCGAGACGTAACTGTTATCTCACCAAATCGGGACCAAGTGTGTCACTATAGGTCAAGCTTGATCGAAACAAGAGTATTTCCATTTCGTTTTAAGGAAACACCAGCAGCCCTATTATCCATGTTTCAATCAACATGTTATATCGACTGGAATATATACATTGATTACATGAACGCAATTTCCAAGAACATTTTTTTTTAATTAATACTACTTTAGACTTAAATTGTCTCTAATAACTTCATTCTAAAAAAATCACAAACAAAGATTTAGATTTTGTTCTCGTTTGATGTTAGAATTCATAAGATATCTTATTATGTCAATAATATTGTCATCATATTTTTCTTAGTCATTTGTGAATGCATTTTATATACAGTGTACGAGTTTAATCCGTTCCAAAATTTCCGGATTTTTACTCGTATAGTGAAACATATTCAAAAATACACATAGTGTACACAAGTTTTAAAAATGATATAGCAGACGCGCAATTTGGGACTTCTCTTCTCATTGTCACTCGTTATGCGAAACGTCGCTCGTTAAGCGAGTCATTTTTCTTACAATTCATTTTGCTCGTTATGCAAGGTGCTCGTTAAGCAAGGTTCCACTCTACACGATAAATTTTTATAATATATTCATTCTATTATTACTTATAAATGAAGAGTGCATGAATAATTGCATAATTAATAATAATTGTTGCATAATCCTAACGAACGAAATGATATGTGTAATTATTGTTGGGTACATCCATGTCATCGTAGATAGCCGGAATGCCTTCAAACATTATTACACGCATATGTTGTGTCTTATCTCGGGGCCATAAATGGCCTGAGACTAAATGATTTTACATAGTAAAAACATTGTTTGTTCAAAGTCGGACGGCAAACGTAGTTTATGTTCGGTGATTCCATCCTATCTGCATAAGTTTGCTTTGGATACTCCTTGCTGTGTGTCCTTTGTTTATGTTGGTTGGGATTAGATTGCGGGTCGTCCGTAGTTCCAATTTATAGGATTATAGAGTTACCGCACGCACCACTATTGATTGTGACTTATGATAATTTCATAATTCCCATAGCATTCCCATTTGATTTAATTCCATCAATATTTTTTATGGTTCGAGCAAATAATCATTTCGTACAATAGGAAATTCAGTTAATAATTTATGTTTACGGCTTTAGTGAAAGTTAGTAACTTTGTTGCGATTTGCTCAGAGATGGATTAAATAATAAATGGTCTACTGGATGGTGAAGTTTCGGTGGAGGAAGAACTCTCTTTTCGTCGCTTCCTGCAGGGAGTTAATAGAAGGCATGAATAATGTATTACAGGTCCGATAACTTACCTATAAACTACACCTTTGAGATTAAATTTATTGAAACAAATAACGCATTAAAGACATACTTTTTTTACTTTCAAAGTAAAACATAATTTTTTCAGTTAGTCCTTGTTCTACGAAATTTGAAATCAGTTCGTATTTACAGATTATGGAAACAATTTACTAAATTCTACTTTAAAATATGTCTATAAAACATCATAATTAATTATAATTTACTTCTTTCATGACTTTTATTATTAATTATTATATAATAGGATTTTCCATTGTTTTAAAGTCTACGTTCATTATGTTACTAATTATTTAATTAAAAAACTTACATCATAATTTTCTCTTTGCCTAATCCTACTTTATGAAGTATGAACTACCAACAATTTCGTACTCTAATTATACTCCTTGATTATAGTAATTATATATTGGTAATTAATTATAATTCGTATTTTTTTATGTAAAGTCCATAATTTTTTTACAGTTTTAGTTAGAGTTTGTTAGCAGTAAAATTACTAATAATTCTTCTTACAATTACAACTTTATTTATTATAAACATATGAAATATTTATAAAAAAAATATCCTAACATAATATTTTTCTATTTATGAAATCCTGTTTTACGCTCAGACTGAACTACCTGTATATACTTTGGTATTATAAATGTACGCAATATCATTTATTAATAATCTATGTTCGTTTAAAAACATGTAATCTGTTAAGATAAATTGCATTATTCAATCTGCAAATCTTAATATTTGCAGTAGTATTTATTGAAGCGTTACCGACTCGGCAATATTTCTAATAAATAGTGAATCAATTCATTGGATCTGAGGCCCACGGACAGTGTTTCCTCCTCTTTCCTTCTTTATTTATTTTTTTTCTCTCTCGTTGCTTCTTCAGCCGAGGAATCCATTTGCATTGTAATATTCTGCCAGGATACATCATTTAAATGCAAATATGCTTTTCATTTGCACGACAAAAGACAAGAAATGGACTTCAATATTTAACGATTCCGAGCGATTGGATTTCCATTTATTTCGCAGAATTATATAAAAAATAAATCATTCTTTTTCTCTCTTTACTTTGTACATCGTGGAGCTAATTTACGTCATTCTTTTCTTTTAAAACAGAACTGTAAATGTAAATTACTTAAAATTATTAGCAGATATAAACCTAAGACCTAATAGTAAATAAGTAAAATTAGAGATTTTTAGACTTCGAGTAGACCGGATTAATTGAGGTTTCGCTAAATGAGGTTTTACTATATTTTTCATTTAAATATACAGTGGAACCTCGCATAAAGAGCATTTCGCTTAACGAGAAAAATGAATTGTAAGAAAAATAACTCGCTTAACGAGCGACGTTTCGCATAACGAGTGACGATGAGAAGAGAAGTCCCGGATTTCACACCTGCTACATCATTTTTAAAACTTGTGTATTTTGAATATCTTTCACTACACAAGTATTTCACTACACAAGTAAAAATTGGGAAATTTTAATATCGATCTACATTCTCATGATTTTATACACGTTGTGTTATAAAAAACAAAAAACAAATAGAATTTCACAGCAAGAAAGTTAGTTTATTAATTTTGTTCAACTATAAATAAAGGATATATTTTGTGGTTCAATTCGTTGATGTTGATGAATTTATATCATGATATTTTTAGAAGGTTATCGACCTTTTCTTGACGTTTCTCAAAGTGTTTTCTAATTAATGAATTTGTTTATTTATTGAAGTGAATGTGTGTATAAAGTATGGTATGATTGTGAAGTATTCGGATGTAAACTATCCTTATACGAGGACTTAGCAAATCGAGTATAGAGATAGTAAGTACATCGAGGAGCTAAAGGTTAAACCAAGAGATCCTAGGAAATTGCAAGTTGCGTTGAAGGCATGCCTCGCGTCGTCGTTTATTCCACATAATATATGGTCGATAATTCTTGGACGTGTTTTGGTGATAATGTAAATATGAGATAAAACATTCGGCAAAGCCATCACACACATTTAGCATTTATCTGGGATCATTAATAAGTCTTAGAGAGCAGGCATTGCGATGTAGCAAACGCGAGACAACGAGAATAAATGCTCGTACATAAAGTACGATCTTTTTACCAAACAAAACGTTTCTCATTGAATCCAACGATAAATTGCCATTAAAACCATCATAAATATTATCTTTGTTTATATGTGAGAGAACAACTTCCACATTATACCCCATTTCCACTATCGGCATATCGTTTTTTTATTCTATTTCCATGCGTTGCCGAAGCTAAAGGTATTCTCATTTTTATTTTGTTTGTTTGTTTTTGATATAAACATGCTACACCATAATCCTTTGGATTTAACTACCTTTTAAATGAAATCTCTCCAAATGACTTTTGATGATTATTTAATAATACTAAGTATGTCTTTTATATTAACTAAAGAAGGTAATACATTTCATGTATTAATCAATAAAACAAAAATATACAAGAATTCCTCAAAAATTTGCTGAAATTATTACAATATGTATGATTTATATAAAGATATTTAGATTAAAAGAAAATAATTATAAAATAAGTGAATAATTTTTTTTTGACAAATTTTGGCATATATTCAAGAAACTTGAATTTAAACAAAGTCTTAGAAGGTAATGTTTCAGGTCTTATTTTTATATTTGCAATTTACAGTTTAATTTATTTATTCTGTTCATAAATGTTGCAAGGTTTGAAAAACAAATAAAAATGGAAAATATTATTAGTTAAAGTTATTTTATATGTATGTGAAATATTTATGTTTTCTATTTATTTTATATATTAAAGATTAAAAGAATCAATAAAATTTTGAACTAAAAATGATTTTCTATACTTTGTAAATAAAAATCATACTTAACAATTTTTTAATATGTATTAATTTCACTACAATATGTGAATTCATATAAAAATATACAAAGTAAGATTTAATGAAATATATTTGAATTGAGAAAAAGTTAAATATTTGATTGAAAAAAATGTGTTTTTTTTAATACGGTAAAATGAAGATGCTTTCAAGGTTCCACGAGTTGTGGAGAACAGAAGTTGTCGAGAATGTGTTTAACAATGTTTTAGAAGCCAGTGAATAAGATAGCAGTCATTACATATCCAATTGCCTTTCACCTCTTCTGCCTATAGTAATGTTGTAATAACTGATTTTGAGATTACTCGAATAATTTACATTCGTTGAATAAATAATTGGAAACCGAACATAATCCAACATTTAATCATTTTCAAGTAGCAGAAAAAAATATACAATTGTAATATTATAGCTTAAGAGTTAAA